TTGTCAGCGCGATTAATCAAGCAGTTTAATAGAAATCTTGTGGAACTATTCTGTCAATTTTTGCAATCCCGCGGGCTTGAATCTTAGCAGTTATCGTATATGATCTTATCTAGGGTCGTTTTAAGTGTTATAATGTCAATCGCTACCTTCTGTCTTGAATCCCGTTCATCTCTTGTCTTTTCCTTAACACTCCCAATAATCAGTCCTATGCTGATTGAAGTCAACATAGATAGATATACAGATATATTTGAAAAGACTGGGGTAGATAGATTTGAAAAGACTGGGGTAGATAGAAATGAACAGAATATATATAGATATGAACAAACTCAGGTAGATAGCTAGCTCGCTTTCACTTGTCTATATATATATATATATATATATATATATATATATATATATATATATATGTGTGTGTGTGTGTGTGTGTGTAGTTAGATAACTAAAATAAATCCTAAAGAGCCAGGAAAACCTGCCTAAGTTTCATAAACGGATCTTCAGGGTAAGCTGGGTAAAAGAGGGTATGATGAAACAGTATTTTTTGATAAAATCATTAAAAAGTAATAAGCATAAAAACACGTGACAGAAGAAGACAAAAAATAAAGAAACGAAGCCTCTCTTCCAATCACCAGGATTTTCCTATGCCTACACCTATTTAGAATATTTAGATAGATAGATAGATAGATAGATAGATAAGAAAACTAGATAAACAATGATAGATAGATATGAACAGAGATAGATAGATAATAAACAGAGATAGATAGATAGATATATAGATAGATAGATATGAGCATAGATAGATAGATAGATAGATAGATAGATAGATAAAAAAACTAGATAAACAGAGATAGATAGAAAATGAACAGAGATAGATAGATAATGAACAGAGATAGATAGATATATAGATGGATAGATAGATAAGAAAACTAGATAATCAATGATAGATAGATAGATATAAACTGAGATAGATAGATAGATAGATAGATAGATAGATAGATAGATAGATAGATAGATAGATAGATAGATTTGAACAGATTGGGGTAGACAGATATGAACAATCTAAGCTAGATAGATATGAAAAGCCATAGATGTATCGATAAATAGATAAAATGAAAAGCAATAGATACGAATACACTGAGATGGATTGACAGATATATATATATATATATATATATATATATATATATATATATATATATATATATAAGAACAGAGTGAGATATTAGATTGATAAATAGACAGATATGAATGAACTAAAAAATGAACACACTGAAATTGATTAGCCAAAGAAAAAATCACTTTTGATCTTTTTCTGTGACATGTAAATATCCCGTTTAGTGTTTGAGCTAAGTAAAGACTGTGGAGAATTCTTATTTCTAAGACACACAGGAAGACAATCTCTTCCTTCTCCTTGATGCTAAATTTAAGTTTCTTGACTATCGAAAATCGAGATTTGGCTGAACCGCAAAAATGATTTAGTCACCAAAGTTCTAAAAGCATTCTTTCCTCGTTTTTGTTATTGTGTCATTTTTTTCGTGTTATCCCTCTTAACCAGTCGCTCATAATTCTGGAAACTTCGGCAGGTTGCAACACGTCGTATCTTCATTATTTTGCATGGTGCAAGACAGCTGAGTGTGACTTCTATAAGAAGACAGAAGGATGGCTTCCGAATAAAAGTGCGTTGTCGTAGGAGAGGAAACACGTAACGAAAAAAGAGTCGGCAAATGTGAGAAGCCGGAAGTCATATGTAGTAAATATCTGGGCATCTCGAGAAAAAAAATTGTAAGGCTTTCGATTTTAAAGATTAGAAAAAATAGTTATCGGTTGTTCGTTTTATCATTCCGCGAGAAATGTGCATACATAGCTTCCGTCATAGGTTTGGAAGGCATAAAAGAAATAGGCACTTTTCTTTTTTTCCCGGAAACATAAGTGTTCTAACAGAGGACGGATAGTTCGGCACTAAGATCCGAAGACGTATTGGGATGGCCAAAGATGCCTTCCAAAAGCTAAGCAGGGTATTAAGAGACAGGAAAGTTTCGTCGGAAACGACGAAAAGAGTACTGAACTTTTATATATGTCCTTCTCTATGGCAGGGATTCATGGACAATCTTCTCAAAGATGAAGAAGAGATTTGAAGCAACAGAAATGTGGTTCAACTGAAGGATGCTGAGGATACCCAGGGCTGAATATGCGAGCAACGATGTGGTTTTGGAGAGAATGTAATCAAAGAGGAGACTTACACTTAACATCAGGAAGAGAAAGTTGAAATTTCTACAGAAGGATGCTGAGGATACCATGGACCGAATATTTGAGCAACGACGAGGTTTTAGAGAAAATGGAAACAAAAAGGAAACTTATACTTAACATCAAGAAGAGAGAGTTGACATTTCTACAGAAGGATGCTGAGGATACCATAGACCGAATATGTGAGCAATGACAAAGTTTTAGAGAAAATGGAAACAAAAAGGAAACTTACACTTAACATCAGGAAGAGACAGTTGAAATTTCTACAGAAGGATGCTGAGGATACCATGGACCGAATATGTGAGCAACGACGAAGTTTTAGAGAAAATGGAAACAAAAAGGAAACTTATACTTAACATCAGACAAAAAGCGTTGAAATTTGTACAGAAGGATGCTGAGGATACCATGCACTGAATATGTTAGCAACAACGAGGTTTTAGAGAAACCTGAAACAAAATGAAATTTATCTTTAACATCAACGAGAGGCAGTTGAAATTTCCGTGTAACACGTTTTGAGGATGGAAGTCTTGGAAAATTTGATACTCACAGGATAGATTGAGAGAGAGATGTAGAGAGGAAAGCAATATGTAACAGAGGAATGATGGAACAGGGTTTGGCAGAAATAACAAGCGTCAAAACTTATTAAGAGCTACAAGGGACAGGAAAATGTGGAGGGCCATGATCGCTTACATTTTGAAGTGACACGGCACATAAAAGTAGCAGCTAACGACATTTCTGAAGAAGAAAGAAAAATTTCTTTTCAGCAACCAACGTTTTCGCTTCATCCTTTGAGCATCGAGAAATTTTTCTACGTACATAAAATCAGTTGGTGTTCTGTGTGACCTTTGTTTGTCGTTTGAACTTAACACTTGTAGTTCTTCTTCTTTTACATTCCTATGCAACGCAAGAAAAGAAAAAATATCTTTTCTCACATTTTGTCTTCATTCTTGTCGGTTGCCCAACTAAAGTTACGGGATTTCATGTACAATTTTCGCAAAAGGGAAGCAATGATATTATCTTTATTTTTATACTTTTTTTTAGATTAATTATCATCGATCATTATTGTTATAACCTAGGGAAGGTTACTGAATAGAATAATCACACGAAAGTTAGTAATGAATGATAATACTTAGAACAAGAACAACACATATAAGATTCGCCAGCGGTGCGTAGAAGAAGTAGTCGACTGCTCGGAGGGAGTCAAATGAATTCCACAATGAATCTCCAACTGCAGACCAACATACAGTATTTACTACTTTATTTATGTGAATGGGGACATAACCATTATCATTTTTAGGTATGCTACAACAATTACGAATTTCATGTACAATTTACGCAAAAGCGAAACAATGACATTATTTTTATTTTTATACTTTTTTCGATCAATCATTATCGATCGTTATTGTTTCAACTTAGGGAAGGTTACTGAATAGAATAATCAAACGAAGGTTGGTAATGATCGATAATACTTAGGACAAGAACAGCACATATAACGAGGTGTAGAATAAGTAGCCGACTGCTAGAAGTGAATTCCACAATATATTTCCAACTCCATCCGACCAAAAATTGTCCGTAGACCCCTTTATAAAACTGGGTCGGGTAGCTGTTTCCCAAGACGAGACGCGCCCTTCGACACAGCTTCGTCTGGGCATCCTCTCCGTCCGAAGGTATAGAGTTTAACCAGCACAGCTGGAGACGAATCTCCAACTCTAGTGTATTTACTAACCTCCCCACGCGATCAGATGTGGCACAGGGCTGAATTTAATTTGGGGCATCCGAGCCCGTAGGCTCAGCCAAAAATTCCCGTAGAAGCCGTGTAAAACGGGGTCGGGTAGCTGTCTCCCGAGACGAGACGCTGCCCTTCGGCATAGCCTCGTCTGGGGATCCTCTCCACTCGGAGGTAGAGAGTTTAACCAGCACAGCCGGAGACGAATCTCCTAGACCAACATACAGTATTTACTACTGTAGTTATATGAATGGCGACATATTCTACCTTTTTCGATCTGTGATTACAAGTGTAAACGTATTTTGACACTTTAAGCAACTTTAAAGTAATTTTGACCACTCGGCGCCATTTTATAAAAAAATTTGACCCAAGATCCATAGAAATTCTAACAGCTGGAAGTAATTTTAAGTTAATTTTAAACACTGACAGCAAATTTTAAATAATTTTGACCTATATTAACAATTTAAAAATAATTTTGACCCATATTAGCAATTTTAAAATAATTTTGACCCATGTCAGCAATGTTAAATTAATTTTGCCCCATGTCAGCAATGTTAAATTAATTTTGACCTATGTCAGAAATTTTGTAATAACTTTCTCTCAAGTCAACAATTTCAAATTAATTTTGAGCCATGTCAGCAATGTTAAATTAATTTTGACGCATGTCAGTAATTTTGAAATAATTTTCTTTCAAGTCAACAATTTCAAATTAATTTTGAGCCATGTCAGCAATGTTAAATTAATTTTGACGCATGTCAGCAATTTTGAAATAATTTTCTTTCAAGTCAACAATTTTAAATTAATTTTGCCGCATGTCAGCAATGTTAAATTAATTTTGATCCATGCCAGCAATGTTAAATTAATTTTGACCCATGTCAGCAATGTTAAATTAATTTTGACCCATGTCAGCAATTTTGTAATAATTTTTTTTCAAGTCAACAATTTGAAATTAATTTTGACCAAATACAGCAACTTCAAAATTATTTTCCCTCATATCAGCAATTTTAAATTAATTTTGACACATGACAGCAATTTTGTAATAATTTTGAACGATTCAGCTTTTAAAAAATAATCTTGACCTCTGTCAGCAATTTTAACGGAATTTTTACACATGAAAGCAATTTGAAGATAATTTTAAACCATTCAGCAATTTTAAAATAAGTTTTACCCCTGACAGCAATTCTAAAGTAATTTTGACCCAAGGCAGCAATTTTAAAGTAATTTTGCAATTGAATTTGGCTGTGATTCCCGCAGGAATTATCTTCGACTTTTATTTATTCAATCAATTTTATTGTTAAACCTACGCTAGAATTCTGCTTTTTAAACCATTCAAAGTAATATATATATATATATATATATATATATATATATATATATATATATATAAAGGTAACTACCACGTCACATATGATATAAAAAATGAAACGACTTATTTAATATCTCGATGGCATGCGTTGTATTTTTATACCCTGCGTTGATGATTTTTATCTGCAAATCTTTATCGCCCCATCTATGAAAGATTTCTGCTTTTACAATCATTAAATATAAAAAGTACATTCATAAATACATAAGTACATAAATAAATATATAAAAAAGTACATAACTATATAAAAAAAAAGTACATTAATACCTCTAACATGTCGACCATACTTAAATGGTTTTATAATTGCATGATTTATCAAAGAAAAACTGTATCGTGACATTAAAATAGAATTCTGTTTTTTCATCCTTGGACGGAAAAATATGCAAAGAAAGCTAATATATAATTTTAAAAAAATATTATCAACCCGGTCTTTGTTTTTATTTGCCATGTCTTTTCAGGACGTAGGCGATCGTGGCTCTCCACCTCCTCTCTATTCCTTGCAGCTCTCAACAAGCTCCTTCCCTCTGTTTCGTCCCCAAGACCACGTACTATCATCCACTTTGCTCAAGTCCGCCAGATATGCCATGCGTTGTTTTCCTTTGTTTCTCTTTTCCTCTATTCGACCTGTGAGTATCAGATTCTCCAGTCCCTCCTTCCTCATTATGTATCCCAGACACTTCAACTGCCTCTTCCTGATATTAAGCATAAGCCTCCTTCTCGTTTTCAAGCTCTTCAAGGTCTCATCGTTGCTCACACGCTCGGTCCATGATATCCTTAGCATCCTTCTTCATTCACTGCCGTAAAGGAGGACAGATGTCACGTAACAGTTCAGTATTCTCTTCCTTGTTACGAAATATATCCTCCTTTCCCAGCCTGGTCACAATACTTATTAAAAGATATTTAGTTGTCTTAATCAGTCCTGGGTATGACGATAAACTACATCCGGCAGCAAAACCTCTGATTCGGAGGTTTTGAGGAGCGTGGAACCACATTTTCATTGCTGTTGTTCCCAGGTTCACGCTGACCCGGGATTGTGGCACCTGATAGGATCCCTGGTATGGGCAAGTAGTCAAAACTCTATGAATGTATAAAAATAGATTTTTATAGAAAGTATAAAAAAAATTATAGTAAAAATACCAGCAATAAATTTTTATAGTAAAAAAAAAAAAAATTATCAGCAATACATTTTTATAAAAAAAAAAGAAAATATTGCCAGCAATATATTTTTATAATAAAAAATATTACCAGCAATACATTTTTGTAAAAGAAATTAAGGCTACTCTAAAGAAAATTAAATTTCGGCATTAAATGACTCATAAGGTGTTGATGTGCCACTAAACGAAGATACTCGACAGTTAGCACGAAGCATTTTTCGTAACTGGCGACAAGTAAAGCCTCTTTTAAATATCACCTTAGATATATCCCGCTGCAGCCAGAGACAATGCTGCCACTGCCCGCCACGATCACGAGATGGACGCCATCTCACGACCAATCCGCGACAACAACATGGTGACAAGTAGCTTAAGACGAACGTAGCTGTACAGCCATCACCGCTTCAGCGGTCAATGTTCATGACATATTGTGGTGGGTGCCGGGGTTGCTAGTCTATCGCGTTTTGTAGATGGCGACCGCACAGGTCGCGGGTGCGTTTCTAACTAATGATGCCGACAGTTCGTCTCCGACTCACCAGCCGACACCGTCCGAAAGTGACGCTGCGTCCGGGACTTGCACCCAGATGGTGGCTCTCGACCTGCTTGCCCCTCGTACACATTTTTGAACCACACACACACACACACACACACACACACACACAGCCTTTGACGAGGGATCACTCGGCTCGTACGTCGATGAAGAGCGCGGCCAGCCGCGATAACTGATGCGAATGGCAGGACACGGTGAACATAAACACCTCGAACGCGGCCCCGAGATCCCTTGTCTCGAGGGGCCGAAAATTTCATGTTTTCTCACTCGAGAATCGAAAGACGTCACACCGTCGCCGCGTCTTTTGCCTTTCTCGCGCGGAGGAAACAGTGACGTTGCAGGATGAGAAAAAGTAAAGATTTCTTCGTCTGCCGGTTGCAGACCACAAGGTCGCTTCCATTACGCCCGGGAGCAGTCGTCGCTTATTGCAAGGCATAAAGCATCCTTTAAATATTACGGTAGATATCATATCTGCTGTTATATTTAAAGGATGCCTTACGTGCCGCCACTTAGCATGGATAAGTAGAGCTGATCAAATAACTTATTAGAACAAAGGTTCTGTCCGATTTTTGAGTTGAAAATGTATAAGTTATGGCAATTTACCCACGCACCCATGAACTCTTCCACCTATAAATAGGAGCAGGTACTGCCTTTTGCGGAGGGAAGTTTCCAGCAGTCAGCTCTGAGTGTCGGACCGAACATTCTTGCTGTAACACTCTCGTTTGTATATGTTTGTTTTATTGCTTCTGTTAATATATTTGTTTAACTCAATTCCTCTCTTTGTGTATTTATTTTTAGCCCTGACAAGGCCACAACAGAAAGAAAGAAAGAAAGAAAGAAAGAAAAATGTTATGGTAATTTATCCACGCCCGCCTGGATTCTCTTAACTATAAATAGGAGCAGATTCTGCCTTTTAGAGGGGTGAGCGCTGACAGTCGGACCGAACATTCTTGCAGTAACACTCTCGTTTGTATATGTTTGTATTACTGTTTCTGTTAATATATTTGTTTAACTCAGATCCTTTCTTTGTGTTTTTATTTCTGGCCCTAACAAGGCCACAACAGTACATCATTGTCTTTTTCTAAGCTGTGCAGGCTCCTATTACACTGTTTGATTAATTGCGCTAAATAACCAATCAGCTGACAAATTTCAGGATGAGCAATGATCCCCCACCATGTTACTCACGTTTCATTTGCATTCCATTCACGCTGGTTGCCTTTCTTTCGTTTCCTCGATTATTGGTACAACTGTTTTGCCTCAAGACAAGCTGTAACTTTTTAAAACTTATATTGGGATGGCCAAGGTCGCATCTGGGCGGAGTATTGCGAGACAGGGAGGATTTCTTTGGTAACAAAGAAAAGATTAATTAGCTTCTATGTGTCATCTGTTCCACTTTACGGCAGCGAATGTTGGACGGTCACCTCAAAGATGAAGAAAATCGAGGCAACGGATGTTTGGTTCTGCAGAAGGATGCTGAGGATACCATGAACCGAGCCTATGAGCAACGATGAGGTTTGCGAGAGGATGCAAACAAGGAAGAAACTTATACTTAACATCAAGAAGATGCAGCTGATGTTTCTGGGTCAGGTAATGAGAAAGGAGGGTCTGGAGAATCTGATACCCACAGGTCGAATAGAGAGAAAGAGAGTCAAGGGAAAGCAATGCAAGATATATCTGGCGGGCTTAAGCAAGTGGATGACAGAATATTGTCTGGGGGAGGTGGCAGAGAGACCAAAACTTATTGAGAGCTACAAGGGATAGGGGAAGGGAAGAGCCAAGATCGCCTACGTCCTGAAGGGACACGGCACATAGAAAGAGAAACTTAAAAATATAGTTCGGAAGTTAAGACGGAAAGTGTCACACTGAAATCTGAAGATGTATTGAGATAGCCAAGGAAGTACCCCAAAGCGAAGGAAAATGCTAAGAAATAGAAAAAAAAAATCGCTAGAAGCAAAAAGGACTAAACTGCTACGTGATATCTCTTCACCTGTATAGCAGCGAGTGCTGAACGATCGCTTCTAAGATGAAGGGGAAACTTAGAACAACAGATATGTCGTTCTACAGAAATGATACTAAGGATACCATAGACAGAACATGTGAGCAAACTTCGAGGTTACAGCGAAAATGGAAACAAAAATGAAAGTATCCTTAACATCCATAAGAGACAGTTGATATTTCTGGGGTGCATAATGAGGAAGGATGGTTTGGAAAATCTGATACTCACAAGACAGATTGAAGGTAAGTGTGAGTGAGGAAAACAACTTAAATAGTTACTTGATGAATTTAAGTAAATGGATGCCGGATCAGGGTTTAAGAGAAATAACAAAAAAATAAAGAAACTTATTGGGGTTCCAGATATGGGAAAATATTACCCCCCCCCCGCAAAAAATACAATGAAAGTATAAAAACACATCTTTATCGTAAACATTTCCAGAAATAGATTTTAATAGCAAAAATATAATTACCAAAACTCTCGCGCCCAAATCAGATTTTGGCATGAAATGACCCATAAGGTGTTGATATGCCGTTAAACAAACCAAACAATTTACAAATGCTTCTATTAGGCTGGTGCAAAAATAATGACGTAATAATGTCGTTATTGACGTTAAAAAATACGTCAAAAACGACATTATTACGTCATTATTTTTGCACCAACCTAATAGTATCATGTTACACTGTACACTGTGTGACGAATCAAAATTTTTGTAGCTTCACCGACCATCTAGTATAATGTCATATACCGGGTTCTATAGCTGTGTACGCAGACAATACAGTAAGGACCGCCATCAGTTGCTGGAGGTCTTCCTAGACTGGCATCAACGGCCAGGACGTGGGGATACTCTAGTGGAATCAGCAACCACGTTGCCTTAACCAAAGTGATCTTTCAAGATGGAGGGCATCTGCTGTGGTCTTTACCGCGGAGGGATGGATTCGGTCAGGTCTATTTACACAAGATACGCTACACATCAAATTAATACATCTTTCGGTCCAGATATATAGAAGGAAGTGGCTACGCGGCGACTTTATGACTACACCAGTTCAAGGCAGCTACAGTGATGATGATTGTACAATTTGAAACAGGTAAATTACGTCGTCACAGTACGCTTAGCCTAAATTAGTTACCAGCTTGAACCCTCTTAAAGATAGACGTGCGCACATAAGTCGTGAATCAGTCTATAAGTTAAGAAAGTGCAATCGTGCTACGGAAGCAACCCGAAAGCTGTTGGTGGTATCGGTTCATTAAACTAATAAAATTGCCGTTGCTGGTTTAAAAGGTTTTCGAAAAGGTGATTTCAGCTTAAGAGGTGCGTCGCGAAATTCTCGTTCTGTTTGGCTAAACTTTAATTTGCGCCTGTCAGATCTTGATAGAAATACTGTTGCTACGGTTGAAGGATTGTCTCAAAAACACAACTGAAGCCTGTTCAATGGTTTACGATTAGTAACTTAGAAATATACTTTAACATGGAAAAAGGGTTGCCCATCATTTTGATTAATCAAAATGGAGATTTGAATGCGACCTCAAACGTTTTTTAACACCACTTCGCCTTGACGCCAAGAAGATAATATATATATATATATATATATATATATATATATATATATATATATATACGACTCCGCATCATCCATCACGCGGGTCGACAACGGTCGGGTCCATCGATTTCACACACGATCGAACTCGAAAAACTTGCTAATGGCAAGGAAAGATCGAGTCATCCACCTCAACTATCGACTTCAACTAAAAGATTGACTACAAAATCAAAAATTTCTTCAAGGGCAAAATAGGGAAAAAAAATCAACGTCCAGTCAGGATCAGATGATTTCAGGGTGCACTTCCATTTAGAAGAATGCAAGAGGGCAAAACATGTTGTCTACATGAAAGAGGTACGCCGACAACACCTTTTGAAACGGTAGCCCCTAACAGCAATGGGGAACTCTTGCTAAAGATTTGTTACTCAAAATCTTACTCCATTCTTAAAACGTGGTTTGGTCAACACAGAACACTGCACGAAATCGTACAGTCCTGATCATGTAACGAAAAGGATTATTATGTTTAGTAACTCAGACTTTGGCCAATTCATGACAGCAGATAACCATCAGTAATAGAAAGAGAGATAACAGCTACTGGACTTGAGATTTCATAAAAAATATGTTTTAAGCGAAAGAGTTTAAACATTTCAAAAAAAAACAGTATTCGCCGTTCGTTCAATAAATGTTAAATTTTTCCTTATAAGGAAACGGCTAACATTACCGTTATTACAAATTGCAGACATCTGCATTTCTTTGTCTTTCGTGAATGTACCTATTTTCAGACATCAGTATTTTACAAGAATATTAAATAACGAAGATAGCTTTTGGAAGGGAGAAATAGGGAGAAACACAATCGAAAATTTGGTATGTTTTTGATGAAGTTTCTTTTTTTTTCTTTTACTCTTGTTCACCCAATAGAAGATAGAGTAACTGTAAGTAATTACATAATGTTATGAGGATATGTAGGATAGATAAAGTTTGACCCTTGGCTTGAAGCAGTTAAGACCATAGTGATCAGAGAAGAGTCGTTTCATTTGCCAGTTCTACAATGATATAGTTCTGAGGAGGAAGTTTGTATGAGTAAAAGTTCCACCTCAACCAGTCTTGGAGAAAGACAATTCTGAATTCAAACCCATGGAAAAAAAAAAAGCAATGGTGAACCTTTCCATTATCTCACCCCGAATGTTATAGAAATTAATAGATCAAAAAAATAAAGTTGTGATAATGGTGGACACTTAAGGAAATTTAAAAAAACAAAAACAAAAAAAAAACTTTTAGCGGAAGTCGCAAAAGAGAGCAACGAGAAATGGCTAACCCTTAATTACAAGAAGACAAAATATACGGTCGCCAGCAAGAGAGACGGCCAAAGTTCTCAGTCCAAAACAAAGGACAAAGTACAATTGTTTGGGTTGTGTGATAACAAACTACGTGTGCCAGTGAATTCCTTACAGATGAAGAATAAATTTGAAGCCATGGCGATAAGATTCGAGACAGGGATGCTGAGAATGACATAGACAGGGTATGTGAACAATGAAGTTATAAACAAAAAAAGCAAACTAGAAAGACAATCATAGTTAAAATCAGAAAGAGACAGTTGCGTATTTTGAGGAAGGACGATCTGGAAAATTTAATACACTCAGGGCGTATTAAAGGAAAGACATGGAAGGGAGACAGCGAGAATTTCACCCTAAAAATTTGTGCAAATGGATGACAGAAAGTCAAATGTCGTTTAGATATGTAAGCTGTGGAGAGCCATGATCTACATCTAGAAGGGAAAAGACACAAAATCTTTGGATATTACGACAGACTTGTGGAATAGGAAAAAAAGAGCTAGTCAGAAGATACATTTTGGGGGGTGATCAGTCAGTTAAGTGCCATACATGATAAACGCTTGTGCGATCATGTATCTTTCGATACATGACTGAAGAGCGAGATTTT